TACAAGAAAATCAAAGTAAAGGGTGAAAAAAGAGCACCACAAAAAGTGACATACGATAACAAGATTGATAAAAAAATGAATAAATAAATAAATAAAACAAAACTCAAAACAAGAAAACAACAAAAAAAGACATAAAAAGAGCACCACCAAACAACAAACGACCTCGCCGCCCGTGCAACTAGTGGAATCTCTTCACAAGCCCAATAAAAAAGAAAAAAGAAAAGAAAAAAGAAAAAATAACACTTCAGCAACGAACTGGCCTTCCTGTGACATATCGCTGCCCTGATAACAGACCGAGGGTAAACTTCGATAAACATCTCCACACTATTGATCGCCATTTGACTCGCACACGAGATGTAAACTTGCCAACGTTCTCAAATCAGGCGAAAATACCAGGTCATTGAAGATGCAGTTCAAAGAGAGAAAAAAAATAATCACACCAATAAGAAAAAAAAAAAACGAATGAAATACGATTATGGAAATGCATCCGGACACGAACCTCACCGTTGAGCGAGAGACGTCGTTCTCGAAATTGGATTGTCGTATTAACCTTCGGCAGCAGGTAAGACGCGTGCTTTTTCATGCTCGTTATATATCTCGAGCCTTCGCTTCGAGTCTCCTCCGACGGGACTGAACGAGGCTGATGAAGACCGGAGGAGGAAGAGGGGGAAGACCCAGTGCCACACCGGCCGGGGTCATCTTGCTTTAAATACGAGGGGAGCAAGTCCTGGGGGACATTCCTTCGACGTGACATGCTCCCCAGACCGACCCACCGACCCACATACCCAAATCCGCTCTCCCTACCTCCATATTCTCTCTCTTTCTCCTCTTCTCTCTTTCTCTCTTCTCTCTCTTTCTCTGTCTGTCTGTCTCTCTCTTTAAAAGCATAGCCATAGATAACATTTTCGTTTCTCTGACTCCACCTCCGACCCGCCCCACCTACACCACACACAAAAGACCCACCCCACCCTCATCCCACCAAAAAATACCCCCCACCTCCCACACTCCTCCCGCCCTAGCACCCCCTCCCCCGTCTCGGAGTCTGGTCTCGGCACTGTCAGTTATAGACGAGCAAGACTTCACTCCTAACTCCATTCTAACTTGTGGCTTAACTTTGCGGGCGTGTGGTCGCGGCATTGCCAAGTGGGCGGGCGGGAACGATGTCAACACCCGCTTGTTAAGTGGCCTAAACTATCTCGCTTTTCTCCTGCCTCGTCTCCTGTCCACTTCTTTTGGGGCTCTTCCTGGTTCGCTAGCTCTCTTTCCGTCTTTCCTTTCTCCTTTCCTTTTTTCTTTCTTCCCTTCTTTCTTTCTTTCTTTTCCTTCCCTGCCTCCCTCACACTCTTTCTTTATTCCTACCACTCTTGCTTCCTTCATCTTTCCTTCCCTGACTCCCTCATTTTCTTTCCTTTTTCTTCCTCCCTCCCTTCACTCACTCACTCATTAATTAATCAATCATTAATAATCGCTCCCTCCCTGTCTCCCTCATTTTTTCTTCCCTTTTCTTCTCATCCCTTTACTCACTCCACTTACATTCACTCATTCATTCACTCACCCATTCAACAATCAATCATTTCATTCATTATTTCCTCCCTTCCTTCCCCTTTTCTTCCCTTCCTTCCTCGTCCATTTGCCCGTGGCACTCTCAGTACTATACTCCGCGTGGCACACTACTCGCAATGTCACTATACCTACTCCTCTCCTCATCCCTTCCTCTTCCTCTTCCCTCTCCCCATTCCCCTCTATCCTATCTCCTCTTCCTTCTTCCCACTCCCTCTCCCATTCCCTCTCTCCACTCCTTCCTCACCCCTCTCCCATTCTCCTCTCTCTCTTCTCTCCCCTCATCCCCTTCCCATCCCCTCTCTTCATCTCATCTCTCCCATTCCCTCTCTACTCCCTCTCTTCCACCACCCCTCTCCTCTTCTCACCTCTCTCTCTCCTCTTTACCCTTTCCCCTTCCTCTCTCTCCACTCCTCTCCCCTCATCCCCCTCCCATTCCCATTCCCTCTCTCCTCTTCCTCACCCCATTCCTCCTCCTCTCCCCTCTCCCTGTGCCTTATGTTGTCCCTTATTGCTCTCAAAGACAAGTGTTCACACGTGAAATTGCTGCGTATGCTCTTCCTCCCCTTCTCTCTCTCTTATTCCCTTCGCTTCGCTCCCTCCAAAATGCCCTTTTCGTCTCTGGCTAAATCTTCCGTTTTCTCTCGTCCAGCATTTTATTCCCCGTCGTGAATATCTCACTTTTTTATTCTCATCTTTGGAACTTCATTTTGTCGTGTTCTTTCCCTTCCTTTGCCTTCTTCTTCTTCTTCTTCTTTCTATTCGTGAAGACGAGGAGGAGGGTTGGAATGGGGCGGGGGAGGCCCCGGGGCGGTGGATCCCTCATTAATAGCCTGCGTTTCTTATCTCGCTCCGTCATTCCCCTCATATGTTCCCCTCCTCTCTCTCTCTCTCTCTCTCTCTCTCTCTCTCTCCTGCTTTCATTTCCCTTCTCTGACTCCCCGTATACTTCCAGTATACATATGTTCGTACGTGTGTATGTACATGTAAGTACACGCGCACGCAATCTGTTTCATCGATGTCTCTCTCCCTCCCTCCATCTTCCGGGTCCCTCCCTCTATCCCATCCCCCTCTTTTACGTTCTCCTTTTTCTCATTTCTCCTCTCTCCTTCCACTCGTCCATCCCATCCCTTCCCCCTCCTTCACTCCCTCCCCTCCCTCCTCTCCTCCCTCCCACTTCCTCTCCTCTATCTCTCCTCTCCTCCCCTCCATCTCCCACAAACACAACAAAACAAACCCTTCATTCTCAATCAACAAACACAAACAACAACAAGGCCCATAAGAACAAAGAATAACGAAGAAAAACTGACAGTAATAAAGGCACAACTATAAACCGGCGGAATTAACAGCAAAATAAAGTTAAAACCCACCGGCAAATGGCATTACGGGTATTTTCAAACTCATTTTTAGATGTGAATGGCGGTAGGGGAGAGAGACGGCAGCGACAAGAGGGAGAGGGAAAGAGGGAAATGAATGAGAGAGAAGGGAAAGAGAGAGAGGGAAAGAGAGAAGGAAAGAGGAAGAGAGAGAGAGAGAGAGGGAAAGAGAGAGAGAGAGAGGAGAGAGAGAGAGAGAGAGAGTAGGGAGAGAGAGAAGAGAGAGAGAGGGAAAGAGAGATGAGAGAAGAGAGAGAGAGAGAGAGAGAGAGAGAAAGAGAGAGAGAGAGAGAGAGATAAGAGATAGAGATAGAATAGAGATAAGAGATAGAGAATAAGAGAGAGAGAGGAGCAAGAGAGAGAGAGAAGAGAGAGAGAGATGAGGAAAAGAGAGAGAGAGGGGGAGAGAGAGTAGAGAGAAGAGCGAAAGAGAGAGGAGAGAGAGGGAAAAGAGAGAGTAGAGACCGGAGAGGGAAGAATGGGAGAGATAGAGGGATAAGATGGAGAGAGAGAGAGAGGGAAGATGGGAGAGAGAGAGAGGGAATAAGTGGACGAGAGAGAGATGGAGAGAGACGAGAGATGGCAGAGGAGAGAGAGGGAAAGAGAGAGAGATGGGAAAGATGGAGAGGAGAGAGGGATGGGGAAGATGGAGAGAGGAAGAGAGGGAAAGATGGGAGAGAGAGGAGGGAAAGAGGAGAGAGAGGGAAAGAGGGAAGAGGCGAGAGAGAGAGATAGAAAAGAGAGAGAGAATAGCGAATAGAGAAGAGAATAGAAGGAATAGAAGACCAGAGAATAGAGGAGAATGAGAGAGAAATAAGACGAAAGAGAGTGTATTATTCAGAGGCTAAGAGAAGAGAGGGAGAATGGGGGACGATCTTCCATTTCCCAGAGTCGAGCGAGTGGTGCCCCCGCGCACCAAACCAGAGAGGACCAGAGTGGAGCAAAAAGCGGGAGGTAAGTGGCAGAAGGGCAGATAATACTGCGAGATCAAAGAATAACGAGCGATGAAAGGGATTCCAGGCAGCGCGCGCGACACGCACCACAGGTACAGCACACACACACCACACACACCACACTGAACATACAATACAACACACACACACACACAACATACACACAATTTCAGCTCACACACACACATCACATACAACACCACATACTACATACACACAAACACACACAGCACATGCACAACACACAATCACCACAACACAATACTACCTACAACACACACACACACACACACACCACAACACACACACACAACACACATCACACACACACACGTACCCCCCCACCAGACACACAGCCAAGCACCTCCCCCCCCACACACACACACAACGGTGGAAAGAAACGCCATTACTAGTAACGGATTTACATGTTACTTTTCCTTTCGTAACGATGAAGGCATTGCTGTTAAATTTTCTGATGAGTAAATTTCAGTTTTTTTTTTTTGCGATTTTTTGCGATGACTCGTAACGCGTTCCTTTATAAATTGGTGAAGTTGGAAGCATCTATAAATTGGCCTCAAGAAGGAGAGAGAGAGAGAGAGAGAGAGGAGAGAGAGAGGAGAGGAGAGAGGAGAGAAGAGGAGAGAGAGAGAGAGAGAGAGGAGGGGGGGGGGGAGGAGGGGGAGAAGAGAGAGAGAAAGAATAGAGATAGAGATAGAGATAGAGAGAGAGAGAGAGAGAGAGAGAGAGAGAGAGAGAGAGAGAGAGAGAGAGAGAGAGAGAGAGAGAGAGAGAGAGAGAGAGAGAGAGAGAGAGAAAGGAAGAAAGAAGAGAGAAGAAAAACAGAAAGAGAGAAACAAAGAGAGAAAGAAAAAGAGAAAGAGAGAGACAGAAAAGCGTAACGACGATCGAGAGGAGAAAACACCCCTTACCCTCCCCCTCCCTCTCCCCCTTCCCTAACCCTCCACACCCCACCCCCATAGTCCGAACCCGTAAATAATCCGCGCGAATCGACCGACCAACCCAAATGTCACCGTGACCTTCTTCCGGCAAGTTACCGCCATCGACGCCAATCGTGTGGACCTTGCGCCCCCCCTCACCCCCACCCCCATCCCTACGCCAAAGAGGCCATCGGGACATTGAACCGTCGGATCGAACACCGAGGAAGCCGAAACCGAAGCCAAGTGACAAAGCCGCGGGAGTCGAAACTGAAGCCGAAGACAAAACCGAGGCCAAAGCCGAAACCGATGTCGAAGCCAAATCTGAAACCAAAGCCGAAACCGAAGCCAAGTGACAAGCTGCGGGAGTCGAAACCGAAGCCAAAGCCAAAAGCGAAGCCAAAGCCGAAGCTAAGTGACAAGCCAAGTGACAAGCCGCGGGCGTCGACACCGAAACCGAAGCCAAGTGACAAGCGAGTCATCCGTTCGGTTAGAAGCGAGACGCCATAATTTACGACGCTTGTCAAGGCTACACAAACACGTGAGGTACTTTCGTGCACAGACGGGGAGTGGGGGAGGGGGAGGGGGAGAGAGGAGTGGGAGGAGTGCATGAACAGAGACGGGGAGGATAGTAGGGTGGTGGAGGTGGGGGTAGGAGGTGGGGAGGAGGAAGAGGAGGAGGAAGAAGAAGAAGAGGTGGAAGAGGAGGAGGTGGTGGTGGTGGTAGTGTGGTGGTAGTGAGGTGGGGTGGTGGTGGTGGGGGAGGAGGAGGAGGAGGAGGTGGTAGTGAAAGTGAAAGTGAAAGTGAAAGTGAAAGTGAAAGAGAAGGAGGGACGACGAAGAGGTGGTAGTGAATAAAGAAAAATAATAAATAAATAAATAAATAAAACAAGAGTAACAACCCACAAAAAAAGAACAGACATACACAGACGAACGCAGAAGAACCATGAACAGTCTGCTATCAACACACACACACACAAAAAAATAATAATAATAAATAAATAATAAAAAATAAATAATAAATAATAATAAAACGGGGAGGGGTGTGACTCCACCTGACCGGTTAAAAATCATGGGCAAACAAACCAACGTAAACGACGACCCGTAAACATGTGAGACTTGACCCCCTCCCCAGCTCAACGAAACAGGTCATGGGATCTGTCTGTGCATGTCTATCTATCTATCTGTTTTTGTTTGTTTGTTTTGTTTGTTTGTCTATCTATCTGTCCGTCTCCTCTTCAACATTTCTAGACCAATTTGTTCTGTGTAATTTCAATTACGAGTATGTAACAGAGTACACATGTATACATGCACACATACACACACACAACACGCACACGCACACGCCACGCACAGCGCACACGCACACGCACACGCACACGCACACGCACACACACACACACACACACACACACACACACACACACACACACACACAAACACACACATATATACATATTTCTTATAGAAACACTAACGAGATCGCAATTCCGGACGATTCAATGAACGCAGACATGCCACTTGGCGCTCATGCGTAAATTTGCATAATATACATACCAGGCGCTTAGATAATTAATAAGGAAGGCGAGGGGTGAGGGGAGAGCAAAGCCCGACCACGCTCAGGAGATGCTTTCCCCTCGCCGAATCATAATAACTTTCTCTGTGCATGCTCGCCTCTCTCTCTCTCTCCCTCTCTATCTTTCTTTCTATCTTTCTCTCTCTTTCTTTCTTTCTTTCTTTCTTCTTTCTCTTCTTTCTCTCTCTCTCTCTTCTCTCTCCATCCTTTCTTCCTTCATCCTTCCTGTCTCCCCCCATCCTTCATTCCTTTATCATTCACTCCTTTCTTCCTTTTCACTTCTTCCTTTCTTTCTCTTTTCCTCCTTCCCTCCTCTCCTTCCTCTCCTCTTCCTCCCTTCCTCCTCCCTCTCCATCCTCCAACCTTCTCCCTCTCTCCTCTCTCTTCTTCCTCTCCAATATCCACATTCACAGAACAATGCCGATGGATTGAGTAAGTAAAGGTACCGATGGGCGTGGTCTGGGGGGGAGGGGAGGGGAGGGAGGGGGCGTATCCCGATACATATATACAGCTTTATTGGCTTCGGAAACATAACAGGAATGGCCGCCTCTTCGATCTGACCGCATGGTGCCATAATTCTCCCATTTATAGGCCTACGCTGTCTGTCTGTCGGACCACATCTACCTCAACGTCATATCTATGTTCCTGTGTTTACTCTTCATTGCATCTTTATGGTAATATCATTGGATAGGTATCTGAGGTAATATATATCAAGTTATAGACTTAAAATTATCCTGAGGTAATATATATCAAGTTATAGACTTAAAATTATCCTGAGGTAATATATATCAAGTTATAGACTTATCTATCCTGAGGTAATATATATCAAGTTATAGACTTATAACTAGCCAGTGGTAATATATATCAAGTTATAGACTTATAATTTACACTTTAACATTCACTTCACTTTACTCTTTATTCTACCTTATAGGTAATGTCACTGGATATGTATTTCAAGCAATATTTATCAAGTTATATACTTACAATTAACACTTTCACACTTAATTTACTTGTACGATTTTTTAAAACTTTTTATGGCATTCACCACCACAAAAAATCAATAAATCGCCACACAAACCACAGCAACAACAGCGGTGCCCAGTCGTAGAAAAAAAAATCCAAACCACTTAGGGCGTTTTTTTTTTTTTTATAACCTCCCTCTTCATTTTGGAAAAAGGCAAAAGTTAGCCGTCCTTTTCGTAGCCGAGAGGGGGAGGGGGGAGGCGGAGGACTTCCCGATCCCTCCCCGCCCTATCCTCTCCCCACTCCCCACCCCCCCCCTCCCCCTCTCCCTCTCCCTACCCATCCGTCCCAACCCTCCCTCTATCCCCACCCATATCCCCCCTTCCCTCCCCCTCTCCCCACCCATATCAATCCCTTCCTCCACATCCCTCTATCCTTCCCCTTTCCTCATCCCTTATTCCTCCCCTACCTCCTCTCCTCTCCCCCCCCCTCCCACGCTCAGAATCGATCTCGAGGTTCCCCGTCGATAGGCTCCGGTGAGCATTTCGGTCACGTGGGACTTTCGATCTTACGGACTGTGAGCGCCCCCCCACTTTCCCTCCCCTATCTTCACCCTAGCCCCCTCCCCACTCCTCCCCCGTCTCTGTCTCCGCCTCCATCCCCATTCTCCCCTACCACTACAGCACTCCCACCCTCACCTCTCCTCATCACTCCCTCTTTCCTACTTTTCCCTCTAACTATATCACAACAAACCATTTTTTTTCTCTCTCCTTGTCTCTCTGTCTCTCCCCTTTCCCTTATTTCCCTTTCTCTTCCCTTTCTCTTTTTTTCTCTCTTCCTTTCTCTCTTTCCTCTTTCTCCTACACCAGCAACATCCGCTCACTAGCCCTCCACCCACCACCCTCCTCTCCCCCTCCCTTCCCTTCCCGTGCCACCGACGCCCCCCCCCTCAGCCCCTCCATCCCTCCCCCCGATAATTTATTCCGGTGAATGTTGATTAGGAGCCATTACCTGGGCCGAGGCTCTTCAGGTAAAATCAATTACTTTTTCCGTCATCAATAATCGCGATCGATTTCCGAGCTCTCCCCTGCAGGACTACCCTACCCCCTCCTCCCTATCCATCCATCTATCCACACACATCCCTATCTCCTCCAAACCCTCATCCCCGTCCCTACCCCTGGGATAACTATCCCCCTATACTTCTAACCCTACCTGTTCCCCTACTACCTTACCTCTACCTCTACCTTCCCCTACCCCTACATCTACAACTACCTACTCTACCCTTCCCTACCCCACTACCCCTTACCTATACCCTACCCCTACCTCATACCCCCCCTACATCACCCCTACCCCTACCCCACCTTACCTCTGCCTACCCCGCCCCGACCCTCTCCCTGCCCCCCCCCCCATCCTTGCAACATCCCGCTCTCGGTCCTGCAGGCACTCGCGAGTCCCGCCCATAACCGTTTGTTCCAATAAGGAGTAAGAGGAAAGGATGAACAGAATGGCCGACGGTGAACAGAGGGAAACGGTAAATAGATGGCGACGACGAACAGAATGGCCGACGGTGAACAGGGAGGGCGACAATGAACAGAAAGGCCGACCATGAACAAAAAGGTCGACGATGAACAGAGCGGACTTAGCACCGTTTCAAACAGAGCATTTCACTGAGCCAGAATACGCTCAGTAAGCCCTACCTCCTCCCCCCCCCCTCTTCTGCACTATAGCCACTGTCTACAAAATGAACGAAGGAAGTATCTCACGAAGGAACAGAAGGCCGTGACGTGTCTCCCTCGTGTTTTTAATTTCGCTTTTATCAAATCTATAGGTTTTATTTTTTCATTCATCATATTTATTTCATCTTTTGGAATTATCGTCTATGTTTTTGTTTGTTTGTTTGTTCGATTGTTTGTTTTTTATTCGCCATCGTGTTCATTTCATCTTCTGGAATTATCGTAACTTCCCCGCAGCCCTTGAGAAGGAAAAGAGAAGGAAAGAGAAGAGAAAGAAAAAAAAGAAGAAAGAAAAAAAGAGAAGGAAAAAAATCCTCTCTGATTCTTCTCCTTCTCCTCTTCCTTCCTCCTCCCTCCCTCCTCGACCCTCCTTCACCCCGGAGATTCAGCACCTGTCACTTCACTTCACCTCTGCGTCGCCTTCACTCCTTGTCCTACTCCTCTCGTCTCATCTTCGCCTCTCTCATTCACTTCATCCCCTCATCTCCAATTATCCCTCTCCTCCCCCATCCTCCAGTTTTCCCTCTGCCTCCCCCATCTTCAGTTATCCCTCCCCCCCATCCCTCCAGTTATCCTTCTCCCTCCCCTCATCCTCCAGTTATCCTCTCCACCCCCCATCCTCAGTTTTTCCTCTCCCCCCCTCCCACTCCCTCCTTCATTCCCGAACCTTCCGTCAATCCTTTCTCTGAACACCATTACCAGTACCTTCTTTTGACCATATTCCTGCACTGACATCGCACTTACCCCCTCTCTCTCCTCCCTCCCTACGTCCTCCATCCCGCCCTACTACCGGTACGGCCTATCCTTCCTCCTCCTCCTCCCCTAGAGCCTTTCCCCTCTCCTCCCGACGTTCCCTCATACCTACTACTACCTTCCTCTTCCTCCTCCCCCCTATAGCCCTTCCTCTCTCCCTCCTCCCTCACCCCTTCCCTACCGGAACCTTCCTCCTTTCCTCCTCCCTATCCGTAGCCCTCTCTCCCCCATTCTCCTCCCAACCTCCTACCCCCATCCTCCCCCCACCCCTCCTCGCCGTGGACCAGGGATTAAACAAGGATTGAACGCCCGGCGTCTATGAGGCAAATCCCCTCCGCGCCTGGATTACCCCCCTGGATTACCCCCCGGGATAACGTCAACCCGTTCTGCTGGGAAAAATCCCCTGAGTTACGCTGACACGACTGCATGAAAGAGTAAAAGAGAGAGAGAGAGAGAG